TATTGTTTTTTCTAAATATAAAAAATCATGTGATATGATGTCATTTCGACCATTTCGACTTTCATTTCGGCTTTGACCTCCAAAGTCGAAACATTTCGACTTTTTGGGTTTTCATTTTGACTTCATGTATATTACTGCATCTTTAAAAAAAAAAAATAAAAAATGATCCAAAATCAATGAATATTAGCTTATTGGATTCGTCTAGTCGCGAGGAATCAAATGGTAGTTGTTTCATACAAATCGGTGCGATATTGACTGAGATCGTACATCTTTTGTATTTTTTGTTTTTTTTATATATAAAAAATCATGTGATATGACGTAATTTCGACCATTTTGACTTTCATTTTGACTTTTTGGGTTTTCATTTCGACTTCATGTATAGCAGAGACAATATTAGCATAATTAAGTGTAAGCTTTTCCATTTGTTTCACAAGTATTTCCATTGCATCATCATTAAGGCTTTTAGTTTTTCAGCTTGTTTTTCAAAATAAAATCCAGCTTCATAATCGATGGCTTCTTGAATTGCTTCATTAATAGTCGCAGGTTTTTGTGCTGCAATCCATCTGACAAGATCTTTTTGAAGTCCTTTCAAAAATAAGTTAATAACATACGAATCAGGTAAATTTCCATTTGGATCTACTTTCTTTTTTAAGTCTTCTAAATCGATTAGCGTAGGATTCTACTTTTTCATCTTTTCCTTATAGAATTTCATTTAGTTCATAATGCTATTTGTTTTGTTGTTCGATGGTAGAAAAAAGATCTAAGAATTGGAATACAAAAGAATTAGGTCCAGGTTGATTATTAATGATTTGATTATCATTATCTTCTTCTAATTCCTCTTCTTCTGGATCTTTCCAACTTTGAAAGATGGTATCTTCATACCAATCAGCTGCCATTCCTTTAAGAAATCCACTAACTATTTCTAATTCTTTCTGAAGTCCAATTATTTGCTTTAGCAGCTTTTTCAAAGTGAATGAGCCAATCGTTTGGATCCTCATCAGTTTTTCCAGAAAATTTTCGAATAGGAACTAAATTAGTTTCTCTAGGAAATTATTGTACCCTGTTTGCATTTAATTGATCAGATATCATATCCAAAGAAGTAGTAAACTGGGTTATAAGTGTAGTGAATTGATCTTGATTCATTTTTGACGAATTGATTATTTCTCGAAGTAATTGTTAATTCTTTTGTATCAATAATCAATCACTTTGTAGCTGTAATAAATTTTGATCTAATATTTCACTATAGACTTTTAATACTGTAGAGTAATTAACCGATTGTTGGAAACAGTTAGTTTTAAAGGCAACACCTTGAATGCAAAAGTATAATATATTTGAGGACAGAGGTAAATTCTTGTATCTAATACTAGTAAGTAATTTAACAATCACTTCTTGTAACCTTATATCTCAATGTTTGCTTACTGGTATATTAGTTAAGTATTCAAATAAATTAAAGGTAACTATAGTTCTAGTTGAGTACGTCTCAGCTCCGTATGCTAAATAAAACCACTTTCAGAAATTCTGAAAGCTAAGTTTAAGGGTATCAAATGCAGGTGGAGGATAACACCAAGGGCAGGTATAATCTACGTTTAGAGATATATTTGCTAGATATTTTATAATATGTTTGGTTGTATTACGTTCGACTTTTTCAAAATTTATTCACTATAGGCTAGAGAGCCTAGCAGGAATCACCACTTTGTTAGCCAGAAGGCTGGAAATAAAACTTAGACAATATAATTCAGTCTGTTGAGTTAATCACAATAACTTTATCACAATCACGCCTATATGAAGACACGGCAAAAGGTAATAGTAAATGAATAACAAATAT